CCCACACACACACACACGCAAACACACACAAACCGGCATGGGGACGTTTACCAATCGCACCAGAATGTTTTTTTTTTCAAACGCGTCATTTAGAATAAAAACCGATAATGATGGGGTTAGTTATTAACAGGAAATAGACACTCACAGACACAGAAATGGACGCTCAGTGTGTATATAACAAAAAATATATATTTTGCGTACATAGAACAAGCTGTTATTTACATGCATTACGTTTCCAGGCAACAAAATCCACAGTTTAAAAGGTCTAGTTTGTGTTTTTTATACATTAATTCCACTTGTCTTGTGTCTTATTATCCATTTCAGGAACAGATGTAACTGAGGCCGCAGCTACTACAGCCCTGGTTGTTACAACCACCACACCTGCTGTTGAAACCGCCACACCAACTGTTACAACCACCACACCAGCTGTTACAACCACCACGCCTGCTGTTACAACCACCACGACTGCAGTTACAACCACCACGCCAGATACAACCACCACGCCTGTTACAACTACCACGCCAGTTACAACTACCGCACCTGTTGTTACAGCCACCATGTCTGTGAGCACAACCACCATTACAACTAGTGGTGATGCTGACATAGAGACCACTGCCATGTCAGGTGAAGCGCCGCTAACCACCAGCCGGCCGGGGGAGGGAGGATCCGCCGCCGCTAACAAGGGCGAGGCACGGGGAGGGGCGGTAGCAGGCGGCGTGGTCGGAGCGATCATGGCTGTAGCGGGAGCAGGACTAGCCGTAGGCGGGTTCCTTATGTACGAGAAGAAGAGGAACAATGCCACCGTTGAGCCTGCACCGCCTAGCAACATGATCTCTCGGCATTAAAGGTCATCAAGGTCAACAGTACATTACAGTAGAGGCACAGTAAGGATATACAGTCCAATTATCCTTTCTATCAACCAAAGATTTCCATGTACAGTTACAGATCACCGGATAATTTTATTTTTATCGATCAAAATGGTGTGTGAGCAGTGTAAAGTTTTAAAGGTAGATTATGTGTTTTTCTGTATGAAGAGCGTGTGCTTTTTGTGTTGTGTGTTTTCTGTGTTTGGGCGTTTTTAATACCAGATGAGACACATATGTTTATGTAATATGAATATTAAATTCTTACATTATGCATTATGGGAAAATGTAAATGACGAATGACGTTGAGCGTAAGAAATGTGAAGTAAGAATGTCTTGAAAATCACTAGTACGTTTGCGTGTTGTAGGGTCATATGTAGTAGTGTATTCAATCATAAAGAACCAAACGTTTAAACATTAGTATCAGTAGACTATATTATCTATGCAGCAAGTTTATTGTATCCAACATGATGTAAAAACACACCGTGTGTGCCGCTAGCATGTATATTTTCTGCTGCTCTCAATTTTATTCACTCGTTTTTATCCATGTGAATTGGGCATTATATTTGTTAAGGTGCGTTTTTAGCTGAAATAAATGTGAGGAAAATCCCTTGCCTTTGTGTACTTATTCCGTGTTAGTATGCATCATGAGTTGTATGCGGAAGAAGCTTTATTTTGGGAAAAAAGTACAAAATATTCATTTTGTAGGTGGATCTTTTGTGGTTCAGCACAAGGACAGGTATAATTGCAGCAGGAATGATTGTATATCACGTGTGTATGTGTGTATGTTCGTTTGTGTGTGTATTTATGGTGAATTTTGTCTCGAGGCCAGGGACACCAGGACTCGACATAAGTCAAGTAAGTCAAGTTTATGTGTGCTGAAATATGCATATTTATAGTCAGCGTTAGGTAAGGTTCAGGCGTGTGTGTGTACATGTGTTTGCTTATGTCTGGTTGTAGAATTATTCAAACAATATGTGGTTGATTCATGCAAAGGTTTAATCCATATCCTAAAAATACAATGTTCTAGTATCCAGCCTTAAAACGAGAAAAAAAAAATACATGAAAACAAGTTGTCATTCCAACACATTTCCTACTCAAAGACTGTTCCAATTTCAATAAAGCTGTTGCAGCTGAATTAGACGTTGTAATGTCTTGTCCTGCTTCTAGTAAAGAGCGAATTCAAAATTCTTGAATACATGCACTCAATTGTAGCTAAGGTCAAGTACAGATTACCTTATGACTTATGACTATTGCTATTTCTTAAAACACTGGTATTAATAAAGGACACCTTTCATTTTTCACCGTTCAGTTTCTTAATAATTCTCTTGGAGTAGCTAACTCTAAATTTCCAATGTTAGAGTTCCCAACCTCGACAGCTCGACCAACTACATATTCCTTAAGTTACAACATTTGTAGCCAATGTAAGTAAACAATTACCGCCTATCTGTCTACTGCCTAAGTGCTCAGGCAAGAAGCTGTCCCCTTACTCGTCTCCGTAAGGTACCTCTAAGCTGTGCTTTCTTCTGCTTGTAAGCTTAATTCTGTGTCTTCCTAAATACTGCTACAATATAAATGTGTAATGAATATGAGTATGAATATGAATATGATTAACTATAAAAGTACATAATCTGCAAAGCAACCCACTCTAATTCCTTAGCCTTATTACATACACACACACACACACACACACACACACACACACACACACACACACACACACACACACACACACACACACACACACACACACACACACACACACACACACACACACACACACACACACACACACACACACACACACACACACACACACACACACACACACACACACTCACACACACACTAACACACACACACACACACACACACACACACACTCACACACACACTCACACACACACACTCACACACACACTAACACACACATACACACACACACAAACACATACACACACAC